AAAAATACGCAGCACTTTATTATTATCAATATTATGATTAAAACTATGTCTTCCATTAAAAGTTCATTCAATTACCAACCATATTATTTCACAATGTTATGCTTGAGGTATAACACCTGTTTAAGGTGGGTGTGAAAATTGATTAAGTGTATTATTTTTCTACTAAGAATTAATCCAAGTCGAGCTCAACCCATTTATTTTGCCATGATTTTGAATTAGGCGCCATATTTTAATTTTGCCAGTGTAAGCCTTTCTTCAGACGTAGCGCCACCTACTGTCTTCTTATTTGGAACGTAGTATAGGTCGACATTGTGAGTGTATGGAATCACGTCAGGTACCCTTACGAGGGGAGTGTATCAACTTTGGCGTTCGTAATGCCTCTCTACAAAGGAGGGTGTCACCTTTGAGAGTTAGGTATGAACAGTGGTTTTATACCAGTTTTTTCCAAATTATTTGTGCACTTTAGGAAATCAACAGTCGTTTTTTCTCCAATCCATCCTTCAGGTAGGTACGTGATAGCCCAGTCGGTGGAGTTCCCAATATCGACAATCTTTGCTACTTTCCCAGCAAACATTGATGTATGGGCCATCACGTTCAGAGAAATTTCACCCCAGTGAACTATAATTGGCTTGATATATTGGCATTTTCCAATGGTGGTAACGTCAATATTGGCTAATAATTGCTGGTTCATTGTTGGCCCCCTTGACGATTGACTGACGAATTTTTTTTATATCTTACACAAAGAATTTTGTGATTATATGTAGAGAAAATATCATTTTACTCGAATCATTGTAATTCTTCTCATCACTCTATATATAAAATAATTATTTGTTATAGATTTGGATCTGTGTATAAAATTTTTCAGATCTATTCCCACCAAGAGCATATATACACAGTGTGGCCACGTAAAAGACTATAACCTCCTCTGTGCAATCTTCAATTTTCTATAGATTTTGATGTTTTATAAGCTATAGCGAGTCTTTCATCTGGTTGGTGATATCACACTCACTAATTCCTTGACATCACCGAAACACTGCTGGAAAGTCGGCAACTTCTCTCTTTTCCTTGGATACTTCCACGAGAAATATTCTTCAGAAATCTCTGCCATCACTATAGCAATACCATCAGTCAGATGAGCTCTACAAGCTGATCAGTCATCACATCCTTTTATCATCAACCTCGGAATATGTCAAACATTTCTCAATCAAAACTTGTTTGTCTTTCTGTCTACGAAACGGCAAATCTTTAAACCTCTTTGCCGAAAAATGGAACGTGTTGGTGATGAGTTTCAAGTGAAAACTGTGTTTAAGACTAAAGATACAATAAGAGCCATTCTGACTCAAATAAAACCATAAAATGAACAATCATCAAGGAATTGTTCATAGACACCCCTTTCAATGATGGCAAAAGACCATATATGAGTACAATATAAAGAAAATACATCAAAAAATCAAAACATATCCTCACTGAAGATAATGAACTTATGTGGCGGAGTGCAATGATATTGAAATCATAGGAATTGAAGATAACCGCACCAGGTGACGGCACGGAATTTACCGAATTATGATTCTATCTTATTGAAAAATCAATCTTTTCCACTAGAAACATCGGTGAAGTACTCGGGTATCTATATCGATAGCTTTTTAAGATGGGATTTCCATGTTGCAAATACCGTGAAAAAAATTATATGCCTTATTGTTTATAGGTTTTATCAGTTTAGGAAATTCCTTAAACTCCAACACCAGAAAATAATGTATCATGAATTAGTCGAATCATTCCTTCATTACAGAATAATTGGATGGGGTGGTATTAGAAAATAGTTATTTGTTTAACTAGGCAGCAAAGTAGTAGATTGACTGCCGAGGCTGAATTCATAGCCGAGCAAGGAATCCAGCTAAGGCAGCTAATTTTTTCCACGATTGTTCATAATGATATATATCGCTTTATTTTTCCTGTAGTGTTCAATTAAAATAAAATTTGAAAGAAATCGCAGTTGTTGGAATGGTTGGTTTCTATGGAAATGTCCATAATAATTATAGTTTGACAATTCATGAAATTTCTGACAGTTGTGCGAAAAAATGATAGCGACCTGGAAGTACTTACACCTCCAGAAAGGAGGGAGGTGGCAAAAAATAAAGAGTTGAATTTGTTGCCGGAGAGGTCTCGGATGAAATATGAAGGAAATTATAAACGATTTATGGATTATTAATTTTGCTGATACATATCAATCAGCAAAGTAACCACAGGAAAAGTAATACTTTGCTGATTGATACGTGTCAGCAAAATTAATATTTGTTGCCAATCGGAGAAAAACACGTTTATTACCACTAGATATCATGCAAAAAAGGTCCTGAAAATAATATTAATCAACCACATATACTCACGCATCAGACCAGATAGATACAGATCTTACGATCAGTCATAGATATCAGGCAACTATACTGTAAGTCGGTACTCCAGTTTCTTTCAGCAAGGAGAACATTTATTGAACCATTAAACTACAGATATAATACTAGAAATGCAACAAATACCTATCTACCTAGAACAAATAAATATATATTGTTCGGAAATGTTTCGCCTATATTGCACCTCGTCTTCATAACCTTTGCCTCAATCAGACTCTCAAAAATAAAATGCACAAGTTACCATTCAAGTTCAAACTGAAATCCTGGATGCTTACATGTGATAGACATATATTGTTATATAGAGATTGTTGAATCATAGTCATGACTTCGAACTTCACTGATTATTTTGACAAAGAAGCTACTTTCTCTGAGCACTCAAATAGTAAGGTAATTATTCATGTATTCTACTTATTTACAACTACTCACAACTCTCCAATTTTCATTATTTTGTTTCAGTTATTATCAATATTTATAGTAGTGAGTGTATTGGAATGGAAATAAGGATGAGTTATTCATTGACAAGTTCTCGAACTTCACCCTTGTATTTACCTAGGTCTCACTTATGTCTGATTGATTCAATTGATGTATTCTTTTGGTAAATAAATTATTATTATAATGCTTATATTTCTTCGAAAATAAAGGCATTTCACTCTTGAACAAAAGTAATATTTTTAGACTTACCTCGTATGCGACTGAAAAAAATTATATCTGATATTTGCATTTTCAGTTTCCGTTCTTGCTGAAGATTCAATAGAGTATGACTTCTTTTCTAGAATTGATAGGTAATAAAAAAACGTCTATTCGTTGCCAACTCTTTCAGACATATTTTACATTGTTTTTACCGGTTGAATTCATTTGTTAGGTACATACAATTCTATGCAAAATGGGAATTCTCATTCACTGGCCTAACGTAGGAATCGGTTACGTCAGACAAAGGGCTGCTACAGCCTGTTTCCTGCAAGGGGTTGCAAAGCGGGGAGGGATGTCGATCAATACTCCTGTGTAGTATGTGTGCGACGTCGAATCACTCGAATCTCTTTCCCGGGAGAAATCAAAAGGAGAATACACGGATGGCACTGATGTATACAGGGTGGTGGAATGGACCGTACACTGAGAAAATTCATATTTTAAATTTCCTGTAGGTATGTAATGCACACAAACTCACTCATTTCTCTGGAACATCGTAGAAAAGTTGGCAATCTGGTTCTATTTTATAGATATTTCCATGGACGATGCTCTTCTGAAATATCAACAATCGTTCCTCCCTTGGCAGTCTGAGGCTCCGCACCCCTTCGTGGTCACTTTGGAGACCTGCAGAACATCTCTTTCCAAACACTCGTTCATCCAACGAACAGCGAGGCTGTTCCCCGAGGCATATAACCTCCAGAAATTTAAGAAGAACACCAATTCCTATACCTTATTTCCCTTGGATCTCACGATGTTCTCTGAACATTACAGGATATCCCTTTTCGTGGGAATCAGAACATAAAAAAATAAATAAATAAACATATGTCAATCCTCCAAAGCGTCATTCAGGACGAATGCATGGCTGACGACTAACTGCAAAATATGTGGTGGAAATGACGTCTGTCCTCATTACAGTACAGTATGTATAAGGGTAAATTTACACCAAATAAACACCAATTCATGTAGGTATTGAAAACTTCTGCGACATCAAAAAAGTTTAGAGCGTCTAACAACATTAGTATATTCACAGTATGGTTTCAGGTTTCAATATTTAACAATAAGTACATAATATTTTGATTTTATGCTCTCTATGTGAAATCACGATTCAAAATATATTTTCACGAGAAAATGATAATTATAGTGAATATAATAGAACACATTGATGAAATTACATTAACACCATAGTTAACACTAAGAATAGCTCTTTGTAGCTAAACTTTCGAGAAATAAAGTCCAATTATTATTATTATTACTATGTAATAGAAGAGTGTTGATAAATATTCAACTAAAAAAATATTTTCTAGAAATAAATGTATGTATATAGCAAAACAACGTTTGCTGGGTATCAGCTATTGCGTAATAATAAATAGTAGTTTGAAAAACTAATGAAACACGTTTATATAGAAAGCTAAACTAAAAAGAAGTGAGTAATAGAGAGTACTCAGTTTGAAAAGATGAAGAGATATAAAGTGCCGACCTAAAAAATAAGTAGAGAATAAATAGAGTAGTTTGAAGAACTAGTGCTAGTGTTAATAGGGAAAATAGTCTTCTCTTTACCTGAAAATTGAGCCCCTGAAGTCTTGTTACTGGATGTTGAAACCCCTCTGTATAATATAAGTATATTATTAGTTGGTAGGTATCGCAATTATTTGTTCTTAGCAATGGTGATTTGGAAATATTGACTGAAATAAGTTCACGTTATAACCTTGGAAATTATAACCTTCCGGTTACAATTTACTGTAACACATCTTTATAAGTGGAATCTTCGAAGGCAAAACCGACATAATAGATTCCAAGGTCACCAAGACCTCTGATGTCTCTTAATAACTGGCAATGAACTTTGAACTCTCTACAATACTACCAACATAGAATGATGTGAGATAGTAAAAAAAAAATCAAAGTCCAATTCCTATTAAATATATTTCTTGTTAAAAATATTCATAAAGAAGCACCAACATTACAACCTCACTGTACTTTCACAACATATCTGATTCTTGTTTTATTGATAATTCAGGTTCAGAAATGAGCTCAGTTTTGTTAGTTTTACCATGTCCCGATGTTTCGCCATTTTTATACACGAGTTCTATACTGCTCGTAGACGGCAATGTAGCGAAATAGTCGATGATTTCATCATACCAGTGACTCGACTGTTCTGCCTCCAGAAACATATCTTTCTCTATAGCTAAGAGAGCAAAGGCACTTCTCGGTTCTTCGAACTTTTCCAACTTGCAATAATCTTTAATCCTATTTAGAACACACGCTTTCCCTCGTAATGGCCACGTGAATGACGGTATGGTCACCACTAATTCCAGAAGTCTGTACAACATCGGCAAGGAAGTATTAACCTCGTGATCGTATAGGAATTTCAACATATCTCTTGGGGTTTTGACACCCGCCTCCCCTATACCTCCGATGGTTGAATCGTTATAGAGTAATTCCAGTTCTGTTTTCAGTTTCGCATTGTCGAAATAATTCTGGTAGTTCTCCTTGATCATGGCCCAACAGTCAGGTATCTTACTGGATTTAGGATCTGAAGGCTTCGGCATGGAATGTGCACTAACTAGCGAAGCGAACTCGAGAAGCTCTATATCCAAAAACCTCCCATCGATTTCATATATTATGTGATCGATAATCTCCAGATATAAATCCAACATGTTCTTGAGTATAACTTGTTGACCGCTAACGTGTTGTACATTTTTGAAAATGTCATTGAACTTGGACTCGGATTTCAGCTGTTTCAATTTTGTTGTGAGTGAATTGATTTCGTCGCGATATTTTATGGCGCTCATTTCCTGATTTTTTATTTTTTCCAGAGAATCCTCAATCATCGAGAATATATTGTGGAACATGTTGATGAAAACCATGAATTTGTAACTCTTGAGATGATTAATGAGATTGACACAATCAGAGATGATGTGTGGTACATTCGCAAACTCGTCAGCTATGTTTAAGTATTCCAAGATTTGCGTAACGGAAGTGTCGTTATCTTTCAAATATTTGATGCAAGCAAACGTTGACTCAGTCCATGACAGATCGATGTTTTGTACTACTTCACCTAGAAGAGGGTTCCTGAAGAAAGCAGAAAACATCGAGATCATCGTGAAAAAGAGTTTGCATTCTTGGATCGCTCTCAAAGACTGCGCCAGAATATCACTGAATTCATAAGCATAACAATGGACGAACTGACATCGATTTGGTGACCCAACGAGCTTCTTCACAGACTGCTGTAGCTCGTATATCTCGGTAGACTTCACCACACCACCATCGAAACACTGGGCTATCATTTTTTCTTTGTAGTTGAATCTCTCCAATTCCCTTTCCAGTATGCCAACTACTTCGTCAGCTTTCTTGTTGAAGCCTACATCGAAGAAACCGATGAACCTTTCTACAGGCTCTGCGTTCTTCACATACCTCAACGAAACCGCGATCTGTCTCCCTCTTAGACAATTCACTTCATCCACCTGGAGGGCGAAGAATTTCACTGAGTCCAATTCGTGAACTATGCGCTGGCGAACAGTATGCGCAATAGATTCGATCAGATCTAATTGTATGGTCCTGGTCAATCCTTTAAATGGACTGCTCACTTCTATTTGGGTCCGAACGATGTCATCGTACTTCTTCAGGACAGTTATCAAATCTGAAAAACAAATATTACTCACTAATACTCACTTATATTAAAATTATTGAAACACAATCCCGAAATATCAATATTTTTTTTTTGATTTGCAGCTTTTTCTTGGGGTTTGGATTCAAGGATTGAGTAGAAAAAAACGTTTCGCCCATGGCCATGGGCTTTGTCAATTTATTAAATTTTTTTGGCTCTGTAAAATAATGGTTTACATTGTAGGGTGATGGTGATGAGACATGAATCAAAAGAAAAGAGAGATACGTACCTCAACCAATTCATAATTCACAGCGATTGTGGTACTCTTGTGAATATTTTTTATTTAAACATATTGTTCCTTTTTATTTTCCCTTCTTTTTTCTTTTGGAAAGAGTTGAAACATTTTTGTTGCATCGTTTTATGTGAGATAGGAAAACGAGGGAAACTACGATTTGTTGAGGTTAATTTGGAACTGTTCATCGCATGACTATGTAAAGGACATTTGACTGACATTAGTGAAAGATGACGAGCGATCATACAAGGCGTTGAAATGTATGGGAGGCGATAAAGGATTTCACTGCGAATCAGTCAGGTTATGTTAAAAATGAATTTCGAATTACGATATAATTGCAAAAATTCACAGTAGTATTGATGAATATAAAGGTTTACTGGTTTGAACTTTGAAAGATCAAACTTAAATTATACGGGTTTAGGAAGTAATTGATACAAAAAATCCATTTTTTATGTTGAAACCGAAATTCGTTCCCGAAACATCCAAAGCTAAGTAAGAATTTGATATTTTTTCTACAGGGTGTTTCAAAAAAACCTAACTCCCTTGCTAGGGTAGGTAGAACACTGCAAAATAAGTTGGGTTTGCTCAGTGAAAAAATGTCGTAACGGCATTCCGAGCGGCATTCGTTTTCATGATACAAGGTGTTGAAAAATTGATATTTTTACACATTTTTCACGATTATGTCGAAACTACTGGCAACATTATAATGAAATTTTGTTTGAATGATTCTTCAAATCTGACACATCACATGATCACGCTAGTTACAGGGTTCGTACCGAGTAGCTGATGTTGATATAAAATGAATTTCATTGAGTTCAATTACCTATTTATTCAGATTCAAAAACGATACAATTATTCTTGTGCTGAAGTTATTGATGGAACAAAGAATCATAAGTAGAAAATTCAGATATATTTGACTTGAAACATGAAATATTGAATCAGTAAGTGTTCAAAATGTCCTACGTTTCGAAGACAAAACGATTCTATATTCTTTTCGTAAGAATGTATTATTCTTCTTAACAGTTGAGGATCAGCTGTTAGGTCATTTTAGTGATGTTCAATTATGTCTTACAACTCTTGACGTGAATTTAACTATGTAGCATAGACTTTCTGCTCAAGATACAACAAAATTGTGTAATCCATGTTCTTAGTCAAATCTGTTTCGATGTTATTCTTGTGATCCATTGTTAAATTAATAAGTTCAGCATCAGAAATGTATTGTTGTTTTCGGTTTTCAATGAATAGGTGATAATTTTTCATAATACTCACTCTAATACATAGCTTGATACCAGCAACAGTTATCACTTCATCATTTTCGAATCGAAATATTCCGAAAACGGAACACACAGTATCGAGTTTTACCAAGAGTACCTCTTTGGTATGGAATTGAATGATGTTCAAGTTCACATCAAATTTGGATTGATAACGGATGCCGTTACGAAATTTTTTTACTGAGTAAACCCAACTTATTTTGCAGTGTTCTACCTACCCTAGTAAGGAGGTCAGGTTTTTTTGAAACACCCTGTATATACCTTTATTTCTCTTCTCCCTACTTTTTTCAATACAAATTGTCACTGAGAAGCTAGTGAATTTTTCTTTTAGGCTCTCTGATAGAAAAATTCTTTAAACGCAGTGACATTTTGGGGCAAATCATCTGATTTGTCCTTACCACACGTATATTGAAATAATATTCATATTTTCTTTATACAAACGAGGAGAGAAAATCCCAAAAATCTGGAATAATGAATGTACCATCTCCTCGATTAACCTACAGACAGTATTTGATATTTACAACTCAAAATTCAGAATTTTATTTTTTCAACTTCGAGCAACAGATTCAAACAGTATTTAAATTTTCGACACATCAGTCGGAAAGTTCGTGTTTGCAGTTGAAATTTAATTTTTCTGAAGTTGGCAATTCTTAGTTTGAAGTAGGAAATCGTAGGAAATCTCTAGTTTGAAGTCAGAAAAAAAGAAATATTTACTATAAATAGTTATTTATTATACAAGGGAAAAAAGTAGTAGATTTTAGCTCCAGGTTGTGTCTAAATGAAAGGCAATATATTGAACAATTGAATTCGCTAGTGAGTTACCTCAGCTTTCATTAAATCAACAGTATCAATATCAATCAATCCCTTTCTTTGTGATCAAAAACAAGCTGTCAATTGTTCTCAAAAAGGGGTATAACACAAAATTCTAAAAATTCATATTTCGAACAGAGATAGTTATCAAGAATCAAAATACGTTTTCGAAGCCTATAATAGACTAAAAGTATAATGTCCCACCAAAATATAGCTTGTTGGTTTTGGAATAGTGCTCGAACTTTTTTCTCAGAAAAATGAATTTTTTGACCGTGCCTCGTATACACCCTGATTTACTATAATTTATGTGATTATAACTAGACATGTTTGTGAGTTTCGATCAATACATTTTCTAGCTTATTTTGTCTTATTTATACTAAAAAAACAGTTTTTTTCTTTGTCAATCCTACCCCGATACGACATTTTTACGAACTTTGTCGGCTTATATCTCAGGAACTGAAAATACAAATTTTTTCAAACTCACATATTTGTCTAATGAGCCATCCCACAAAAACATAGTGAAATTTCAGCCAATTAGACCGAGAGCCCATTTTCCCGTGTTTTCGTGCGGGGTCCTTTACCAATGGCAGTGGACATTTAATTTGGAAAACCTACCTACTTTCACCTTTCGCTGCAAATATATGTATAGCGGAAATATCGTTGAAACATAATATTGAATTGAGTATTTTCTGTCATTTGAGAATTTAAATATTTTTCGAAATAAAAGATGTAAGGTGCAGGTCTCGGTGCATCAGGTGCAGTATTATTTCAGATTAGGCGGTAGCTATGTAACTTGGTACTCAACTTACATTTATAGAAACCCTCTTCAACGTCCTTCTGAAATGGGATATTAAAGCGTGCTAACGCGCTGGCGACATCTATCAACCTCTCCAAATACTCCCTGTTCCGCTTCACTTTGACATTGTCTTCTAACTGTTTTCGAGCGTTTTCCTGGCTTCGTTTTTTATTCAAAAGTAACTTCAACTTGACGGTCGAATACGTATGCTCTCTGGACTCCTCGTGTTTCCTTACGGATTGCGACAAATTCTTCAAGTCATCGAAACCCGTCGAATTCCATATTTTGAAGTTACCGCTCGGATAGAGAACGCAATGCCAGCAGTACAACTTTTTATTAACAGTGTTGCCGCTCAACCATTTCACTCGCTGATACCAGCTGACGGCGAACATGCGGTATTTGCCTTTATCGTTCTGGCATATGTTGGTTAGATCGGTAAATCGTCCATTCTGCACTATCTCTAGTTGTTCTTCTTTGGAATAGCTCTTGAAAGGTTTCTCGAGAAGGTCGTTCAAGCTTGCCAACACCATTTTTCAACAAACACTCGTTTACTAGCCGAAATAATTATGCGAAAGGCGGCTTCCAGCTCACAATGCATTTGTTTTCTCGACGACAGTGACCCGAGCAAGCCAGCGTTCGGATCATCTCGTGAGCAACCGGTAGTTTTGTTGTATCGCGTGTTGTCTACGTTACTGAATTCGAGTTAGAATGTCGCGTTGTCGAAATCGTTGTTTATAAATGGATGTTGATAGTACGGGAGCCGATGGAACGAATTACTATTTATTTGATCACGCCAAAGATCCTATTCATATATTATTATTGGGCATTGGGTACCTAATATTGAATAGGTGGTCAGCTTTGGTGGGTGTGATTACAGTGGCGTGACAAGAATTCGAATAAAATTGAGAAACAGAGTGAATTGATATTGCATATCTCTTTGTTTACGAATTTCGAATTGTTCTGATGAAATGGAGGTGAACACATTATTTTCCTATGAGCGTACGGAAAAGTAACTTCTCCTCATGATTTTTCGTTTTGAAAGTTGTACTTTCCCGTACGATTTTACTTTTCCGCACGATTTCGAAGGAAATACCAGGAGCCATGTGGTGATAACTGTCGGCACCAGAACGTACCCATAGCAACATCGGTCTCTATAAACTGACAGTATAGTGGCAGTCAACAAATAAGCATTTCAAGCGTAATGAGCCAAACACTAACCAATGAAATTCAAATAAGAAATAACGACGTTCTTCAAGATGTTGCGGCATCTGCTATATTACAGCATGCAACAAACACAAAATGTAGTTTCAATTTCAATATTTACCATCGGTCATGTTTCAGTTATTGTTATTCAAATGTTCTTCAAATAGGTTTCCTATTATATCGATGAAAAAAAGTCTATTTCATGATTTTTCACTGCATGAAAATATCGTGCGGAAAAGTTACTTTACCGCACTAGTGCTGAAGAGTTACTTTTCCGCACGATTTTTGTATTGTTGAAAATAAGGATATATAGGACTAACAAAATGATCCATGTAACTATTCTGACTTATGTGTCATTTTGTAGCATCATTATAAAATATTGTTCATCAAGAACCTTTTCTTTTTCATAGATAATATGGACCAAAACACTCGTAGGAAAAACTTTTATCATAACTCGCGGAAAATGTCTTTTCCGCCCTAGACGACTTGCCCAAACTTCGCTCCGCGTCGTTCGTGTAACTGCCGTCGCGTGAGGAAGAGAACGGTTTTCCGCACTTGTTAGGTAAATAACTAATGGGGTGGGAGAATCTCCGTCAACTCATTATCCCCATGAGTAAAACATTCTTACATCTAAAATCGAAGGAAAATATATCAATAAATTGTTGCCATCTGCAAAAGTGAGTGGTAAACTCAGCTTCATTATATTTTGGATTCAAATACTTCTTTCAATAGAAGATACAAGTGTTTTAAGCAATAATGGATTTTTTCTACCACTAGTTGTAGAACCTACCATTATTTACTCTTTTTCGAGGCGTAAAGTGTGTTTTTACTACCAAGGTAGTTTTCGTCATTTTATGAACCACTAGTCAATAATGACATAGCCACCTCTGTTATAATAATTAATCCCCATTCACTGTTCTAATGCGATATCAGCAGAGATGGGACTCGGATCTAGTACGTTTTTATCAATAACTACTTGACATATGCTGTAATAGTCATAACTATTATTTTGATTAGAATTGAAGGGAAGTGCATTCATGGTGACAATATAGGTCCATATAGGCTGAAGCCTCGGGATATAATCTTGGTCCCTGGGTAATAATGATATTCTTTACTACCTTGGTGTATGAATAACTATTTTCTGTTTTTTCATGTACGATAATACAGAAACTACATGAAGTTATCAATTAACAACTCAAAAAACTTCTAAACGCTTATTCGCACGTCGTGATGGGCGCTTACGCGTCCTTGGTCCAGTCAGGAAAAACATCAAAGACAGTTTTCAGCATGATAGGTATTTCGTGGTCGTCGTTTATTTGATTATAATAATCATGCTTATTCATTTCCAACTGTGTGTGTGCATTGCCGGTCATCAATTCATCCAGATTGACATAAAAATACTTGTGAAAAATCACCGTGAAAAGGCAGACATCATAAGCCAAATGACAATAATTGAAGCTGAAAAAATCGCTGACAATCCTGAAAAAGACTTTCAAGGGCTACGGATCGCAGAACGACCAGTGCATCGTTTAAATCCTCCAGTACAAACTCCTTGCAAATTCTGCAGGTCACTTACAATTCCATCCTATAGGTAGCACACTGACTTCATTTTGACCTCACTCTAGACCTATTATAAGATATTGTCACGAAAGGTTATTTTCCAAATTATTCTCAAATAATACTATTACTATTATTATTATTTCACTATTCTAACTCATTCAGTTTATTATATTTCTCGGCAATTCAACTGTCCTCGTCCTCGAAAAAACATTTTTCAAAAAAATAAACATTCGAGGTGATCGATCATAATCCACGTACCAAAGGGGACATCTCCGAGTTTCGTTAGATCATTGTGAGTACCATTTCTATTATTTATTCAGTCGTCAACCTAATGGCTCTTCAAGGAATGTCAAAATTATATTCTATCATTAATAAATCCATGTTTGTTTTTGTTGTTAAATCTGTTGCCCTTTTATTGAATATCAACCCTCAGCAAATCCCAACTAGCAAAGGAAATGAGTCACATTCGTGACAATATGACATTGACATTGACACGACGTCATTAAGTATGTCATAGACCAATGACGTCATCCTAGATATCTAAGAGAGGTCGTTCAATTGACGTACAAAAAACGTCATTGAAGTGACGACATATTGACCGAATATATGACGCCATATAGACGTCATTATCTCACAGGTAATGACGTCTTTTGGAGACATATTTCAGAATCAAAATGCGCTTCCAGAAGCGGATATATAAGGATGATTAAATAGGTAGGGGAGACTGGTGTATACAGGAAAAATTTTTTTCCTCCTCTTCTGATAAATGAATATCTCAATTTGAGTATTGAAACTTCGACACAAAATTCGAGTTAGTATAATATAACGAATTTACGAATGAAATACAATGCCCAATTATTTTTTCATAAAAAAAATCATGTCCCTGTATACACCACATATTCTTTATGCCTTGCCACTTCATGGTATATACAGATACATTGATTAAATGTAACCCATGAACACATTTATTGAACACAACTGCAAAATTCAATATCGAGATATAAAACAAATACATCGACACTCTCGACAACTACAAATAGAAACCCTGTATAATGGGATTGTCCCATTTCATAACTTGGAAGACAATTAAATATTTTAAAACACTCATTTATGCACCAAGGACGAAAAACTGTCAATTATAGTCGAGGCTATAGCAATCAGGCGAGACAATAGACAGTTTTTCGCCGAGGTGCATAAGTATTACATTTTTTCGTCGATCTCGAACACTTATATTCACATCACGGTCCTATTCACACGTGAAATCTATCGGATTTCGTGAATACTCAATTTGACAACAGCAAATGACAGTTGTTGTCAACTCACTCTCCGCGCGGACCAAGGTTGCCAGTTCGATTTTAATTCCATCAGTAAATACCTTGCCAAAAATTCAGTAGATTTCAATAGATCTGTTAAAGATCTGTTTTATGCCTTATGAATTCCAAGGAAGGATGATGAAATAAACGTCAAAACATAATGTACTTTCAGTAAACTGAAAAGTAACCAATTTCCAACAAAATAGAAACAAACAAAACATTCTCATACAAAAATAATCGTATATATTCCTAATTCTCATTTCAAAAATACAAAAAATACAGTTTCTTAGGTACATATGACATTTGATTATACAGTGTGACCGCAAATTTTGCTTTCGCTCGGCTTCGCTAAAACGCTCCGCCTCGCAAATGCAAAATTCGCTTGTCAAACAAAGTGTCACTTTTGATCCTAATAAAACAATCTACTATTATTACATAAATACATTCCCGTGGACAGTATAACGACAACAAGAAATTTGGCACATTAATAAGCAAGATGCACATTGAGACAGTAAAATAACTTCCTGTATGATTGTAAAGTCAGGTGATGTACCCTAGAAGAAACTTTTTTTTTCACGAACATTTGCCTAATTCACAGTTGCAACTGTAAATTAGGCAGAGGAAACCTTTTTTTTTCAAAACACCTCCTGATTCACAGTAGCAACAATAAATTATGAGATATTCTGAGAAAAAAAGTTTCTTCTGTGAGATGTGTGAAAAATATTTCTATTGTTGTTATTTACAGTTGCAACTGAATATTAGTGCTAATTTACGGTTGCAACTGTAAATTGGGCGATATTAAAAAAAAATTTCTTCTTCCTAATTCACAGTTGCAACTGTAAATTACTGGTAATTTAGAGTTGCAACTGTAAATTGGACAAATGTTCGTGAAAAAATAAAGTTTTTTTTAGAATGACAGTTCAGACACGTCATTATATTCTGAATATACGGTTGAACAGAATTTGTTGCACCATTTCAAAAAATGACCTACATTCCCCCCTAAATGAAATCCTGGCAACGCCCATGGTGGCATCGAGTTGAAATTGTTTAAAATTTTTCTTGAATGGCAAGGCAAGGCAGCACGAAGACGAATACGGCTCATTTCAAAGATGCCATAATTCCCATAAATTTTCAAAAGACTCATTGTTTTCCTCCGTGAATCAAAACCCATCGTGAAAAATAGATATACTTCAATGTGCGTGTACACCTTGATAGAACTTTTAACTCAAACCATGTTTATAATGATCCTTTCATACATAAATAATGATTGACGACATAATTCGATCGAAAAATTTACTGGAATGTTCAATTTTTGGACATAAATAATAAACGGACCCTCTTATGACGTAGAAACCTCATCTCGCCATAGTTAAAAGAAAATACCAAACGCCGGACGGAGACTGAGGCAACTGATATAAATTAATTCTTTCAACTGTGATCTCGCGGTAATTCCCTCTGCCAGAAATCATGTATCATTCATCTCTGCCTGGAATAGTCCTTTTTCAGTATTAGGGTTTTGACGTCACATCATCGCCTCG